CTGGCCCCATCCCTTTCCTCTCATCCTCTCCCCGCTCTCCCTCTCCTCCCCTACCCCTCTGCCTCCTCTCTGCACCCCCTTGTCTCCTCGTCTCCCCCCCGCCTCTCCCATATCCTCTTCTCCGCTCGCCTCCCCCTCCCCCTCACCTCCTCTTCCCACTTTCCTCTTTCTTCTCCCCTCCCCTCCCTCAGAGCCTCCCCTCCTCCCTCCTCCCCAGTCCCCCGACCTCCTCCGCCACCCAGAGGAGCGGGACCGCTGGACCTGGAGGCTCCCAGGGGGGCCGAACCAGATTCCTCCTGGCGTGACGTCCCGAAGTGCTCGACCGAGCCAGGCCAGACGATATTCAAAAAAGACCGAGCCGGATCGTGGCCAGCCCCGCGACCAACGGAAACGATCGTATCATGCTGATTCCGCTGACGGCGAGGAAGCGTTGCATTACGCACGCCGGGGGTATGACCAGCCGAAGGGTTCCAGGAGCAACCCTCTCACGTGCACCCACTGCGGTACCTTCGCACCCCTGCGAACGACCCGTGTACGACAACGGGCGTGCAGCGGGGGCAGAAGAGCCCAGAATTGAATAAGCCGGATCGGCGATCGAAATGAATCGGATCGCAGGCCGGAAATCGAAGCGAATCGGCAGAAATCGGCAGGCCAATAATGAGGCCTCCGCTGAGGAATCGAAATCAAGATCGGAATCCGAAGTCGAATCGAACCGGAATCGGAATCGGAATCGGAATCGGCCGAAATGGGATCGAGGGGAGTCGGGCGGGTCGCAAGGAGCCCAGCGGGGGCGGCTGGGGCAGGCGGCTGCCGAGGGGCTCCACGAGCGGCCGGCGCCCCTGGCGTGCCTCCGCGAGAGGGGCGGTCCGCGAGGCGAGAGGCGCCCGAAAGGGCGCGAAGGGGCCCGCCCACACGAGGGCGCCCCCGACGGCCCTTTTGAGCATCGCTTATCCCGACCCCCCATGCCCAGCGGCGTTGCCTGGGCCCCACTGGCCGATTTACCCCCCCAGCTGGGGATCAGAGGTCGTTTCCTTCGGGTCTCGAGGGGCGTGTCCCCAACCGGGGTGGTAATTTGGTGGGGGTCTCGAAGGGGATGAGGATGGGGATGGGGATGGGGGTCGGTCAAACGATACTGATCTCTGGGTGCCTCGCGAGGAGCAGGACGCGACATACACGTAAGTTCTCACAGGTCCGCGCAGATGTCTTGGATTCGCGCTGGACCTCTCTGGCGGCGCCTCTGGCGCCGCCCCCGATGCTCCCAGGACGCCCCGCAAGGGCTCCACAGAGGAACAAACAGCAGCATAAACAGAAGTGCTCAGAGGTCTCACCAGGGGTTTCTTGGATCGGCGCTGCACCCCCCACCTGGCGCGCGGAACGCGCCAGGGGCGGCGCTGGAGGCGCCACCACGGGGGCACAGTGCCGATCCAAAGACACCCGCGCGGACCTCTGGGAACTTGCGTGTATGCCATGCTCCACACCTCGCGAGGCACTGGGAGCGCCGTCGGTGGGGCCCCCGTGCGGGCCTTCCCCTCCCAGACCCCCGGCGTCATGAGTTGTCCAAAAGGTCGACCCCCGGAGGTCTCGACGCGAATGGACTCCCTGGGGCCATCTCCTCATCTTGAGCCGTCTTTGGAATCGAAACAGAAACTCCCGCTATATTTTGTTCATGGCCCGAGGGGGTCTGCCGGGTCATGAAAACATCATGGCGGAAGGCTTTGCGCTGCGTTCAGCCTCTGGGGGCCCTCGCTGGGCCTCGGGCCAGTTCCACAACGACTCAGGACCAGAATATGGTCCCAGGGTATCCATATGCGTCGAGACCTCCAGGGGTCGACGTCTTGAAGAAACCATGACGCAGGCAAAAGGAGGAGGAGGCGGAGGAGGAGGAGGAGGAGGAATAGGAGGAGGAGGAAGAGGACGAGGAGGAGGAGGAGGAGGAGCTAGGAGGAGGAGGGGGTCTGGGAGGGGAAGGCCCGCACGGGGGCCCCTCCGCTCGCGGACCGTCCCTCGCGGAGGCACGCCGCGGGCACCACCCCCCCGCTGCGGCCGGGCTGCTGGCGGGGCCTCGCGGCCTGCCGGCGCGACCCGCCGCAGGGCTCGGGCACCACAGCGTGAGCCGCCGCACGCGGCGCCGCGGCGCCGCGCGGGCACGCCCCGGCGATCCGCGGCTCCTGTTTTAGACCAGCGCGCTCCACGACTCGCAAATGACCTGGATCCGCCGCGGGGGGGCTCCGATCCATTACGTGGGGGAAGACACGTGTTTTTGTTCGGAGGTTTGCGAGTAGGCACTTTGCGAGTAGTTGAACGCGCTCGGTGATGTTTGGCAGCGCACACGTCCCAAATCCCAGACCTCCTCGGGTCACGAACAAATCACGACGGAGGGTTTTTCGCTGTTCGACCTCTGGGGGCCCTTGCCGGGTCTCGGGCCCGTCAGAAAACGACTCGGGATGAGAAACCGGTCCCAGGAATGGGTCGAGACCTCCGCGGTTCGACGTTATGAACAAATCATGATGTCGGGGCGTCGGGGGTCTGGGTTTGGCGGCGCGCACAAGTGGGTAGGGGGAGGGGGGAAGGCTTCTTGGAAGCAGGGTGCCTCGAAGAAGCCTTCACTCCTCCCTCTACCCCCCCCTGCGCGTGGCCGACCTGCAGCCAACCTCTGGCGGGTTGCCATCGCCTTGGGGGGCGATGTTTGCTTCCGCCGGCCTCCGCCGGCCTTCCGCCGAGGCAGAGGTGGCAACTCCTTCGATCCCCGAAGACAGGGGCCCTGTCTGGAACGCCCCGCGTGGGCCCTACCCCCGCAGGCCCGGTTCCCGAAACGGCGGCCGGGGCTCGGAAGAACTGCGAAGCATGCCCGCAGCAGGGTGAACTCCAGCGGGGGGCGCCCGACACCCCAGCAGGCACCGTTCCCGAGACGCCAGCCGGGGTTCGGGATGCAAAGGATGCCTGCAGCCGGGCGAACTCCAGCGGGGAGCGCCCGATGCCCCAGCACCGAGTGGACCCACATGGGGCAGGGCTCGCAACGGACAGGACCCACATGGGGCAGGACCCAGCACCGAGCGGACCGCCTGGGCGCAGGTTCTGGCGCCCAGGCGCGGAGAGCCGCAGTGGCGGCAGAAGGGGGGCGCGCGGCACAGTCGGGAGGTCTGTGCAGGGGGGCAGGCGCGAGGAGAGCGGCGGGGAGGGACGCGGCGGCCGGAGCTTCGAAGTGTCTGCGCCCCGAGGGTCTGTCTCGGGGGGCCCGCCTCGGGCCCCGGGGCCGTGAGGAGCCGGTGGCGAGAGGGAGGACAGGCCAGGACGGGCTCCGCGAGGGGCCCAGGGACCGATCTCGAACGGGTCCTGAGGTCCCCGCGGAAGAGACCACCGCAAGGGCAGGGGGGGGAGGGGTCAGGGAGAGCCGGGCGGCGGCGTGGCCCCGCGTTGGGGAGCGGCGGCGGCAGGGAGGAGCAGGGGGGAGGGCGGAGAGCAGGAAGGCGCCCTGCCAGCCACGGGGATGGAGAGGAGGTGGTCGTGCCGAGGGATCGAAGCGGAGAACCTGGACCCCCTGGGTCATGAAACAACCATGACGGGCGGTGTTGCGCTACTTTCGGCCTCCGGGGGGCCCTGGAGCATCCAAAAACGACTCACCCAGAGATCCGATGTCGTGATTTTTTCAATTCGGGGTCCCCAGAAGGCTCGCCCCATTCCCCAGGACCGGTTTTTCATCCTGAGTCGTTTTTTGACAGTCCCGGGGCCCGGTGAGGGCCCCTAGAGGCCGAAAACGGCGAAAAACCTCCGTCTTGAATTTTTCAAGACGTTTGATAAGATGAGAAACCGGTCTCGGGGAATGGTTCGAGGCTTCTGGGGGTCGACGTTGTGAAAAAATCATGACGTCGGGGGTCTGGGCAGAAGGCAGCCGAGAGCAAGGGCACCAAGAGCAGAGCAGGCAGATGCCCATGCCGAAGGCTCGGTGCGGGAAGAGGGGGCCGCCGGAGGAGAAAGCAGGGAGGGCGTCATGCCGCCCGCAGGAAGCGCGACGGGGGCTCCTCGGCCCTCACCTTCGCGTTCAGCCCGATCTCCTGAAAATTGCCAAACTCCTGCTCCCGAATCTGGACTTCGACGTGGACCGCCATCACCTGTGAAAGCTGCTTCTGCTACTGCTACTCCTCAGCGCGTTCCTGCCCTGTGGATGATGGTGCGCCCAACTGTTTGGAGACAACTAGCAACGCGGAGTCCAGGCAACGCGAACGTTTTGGGTGACAACAACCAAAGCCTACTCTGCCCCAGGGGCTTCCGAGCGCGGTCTTGGAGGGGCTCGATGTGTACGCCACGTCGTTTGGTCGGCCAAGGAGATCGGTACAAAGACGTCCCAGCTGCCCAACCTGTGGGACGCTGGGATATCTATTCACCGCATTCCTTCGCCGAACTCCTTGGCCGAACTCCTTGGCTCCCTGGCCGACCAAACGACGTGGTGTATACATCGAGCCCCTCCGAGGTTCGCCGGCGCCCCCCCCTTCGGCCACTCGACCCCTCCCCTCCCTGTCAGGTCCGAGACAAGGCGCGCGCCCAGAACCACGAAATTGCCCCCCCCCCCCCCCCCCCAACAACAAAAAAAAACCTTGCACTCGGGGGCCCCGCCTGCGCTGCAGGGCACGCGGCCCGATCCTGCGTCGTCGGCCGCGCGCGCGCAGGGGCACCGGGTACCCTCGGGCCGCCTGGGACTGCGCGCTCGGCCGTTCGACCGCAGGTGCCCGACGGGCCCGGGCCCCGTGCACGGCTGGTGCACGCTGGCTCCCTGGGACTGCACAACTGGCCGTCCGCGCTGGCGCTGGTGTGCCGATGGGCCCTGCGATTGGCACCCGACGATTCCCCGTGTTGGGCAGCCGGCCGCTGGCACTACAACCCGAAGGCATCAACTCTGGACGCCAGCACCGCAGGGCATACGCCATAGGGCACCAGCGGGAGCGCGTTTCTTTACTTTCGGCGATGACGGGCGTCATGGGGGGGAGGGGCGCGGGGGGTATGACGTAACGCCGCCCCCGCCGTGTGGCTCTGGCATCACAGCCGCGCCCGCGCGCACGACGACGATGAGCGACGAACGACGAGAGACGAGCGACGACGACGATGACGACGACGACGACGACGCGAGCAGCATGTAGGTGACGATCTGCCCCACAGCGCATGTGTACACCACAATGCTCGCGTGCACCACACCGTGTACACCACAACGCTTGCGTACACCGCAACAAACGTGTGCAACGCAGCGCCGGTGTACACCACAGTGCTTGCGTGCTCTACGGCGCTGGTGTACACCACAGCGAATGTGCACACCGCAACAAGTGCAACACAGCACCTGTGTACACCACAATGCTTGCGTGCACCGCAACGCCTGTGTACACCACAGCGCCTGTCTACACCACAGCATCCGCGTGCGACGCAGCGCTGGTGTACACCACAATGCCTGCGTGCTTAGGACAGGTAGAAGGAGCATGTAAGTGAGGATCTGCGTGCAGAGGACAGGAAGAAGGAGCATGTAGGTGAGGATCTGCTGCGGACAGCTAAACGCTACGCCAGGGAAGTGCTGATGATAGAATGCGACGTTTCTCCCTTTTCCCTCCTCCTCGACCTCCACTTCCTCCTCCTCGTCCTCGTCCTCGTCCTCGTCCTCGTCCTCGTCCTCGTCCTCCTCCTCCTCGTCCTCCTCCTACTCCTCCTCCTCCTCCTCCTCCTCCTCCTCCCTCACCCTTCCCCCCTGTTGTGCGGGTCGGCGCTACGGCGTATGTGCGCATGTCAGCGTGCATCGCAGAATGGTCTAGTGAATCAGTCCACTTGGTTCTCGGACGGCCAATTACGCTGGAGCCTCCTGGACGCATATGGGAAGAGTTAGAATGATGCGGGCGGACTCGGGAGGACTCGTAGAGTCCAGCGGCGCTCCTTTTTCCATGAGGATTCCTCTATCAATCCCATCTAAAGCAATTGTTTTCTGTGGAATCCACCGGCGCTCCATTTTGTCATTAGGATCCCTTCGAACATTCTATATACAACAATGGTGCTCTGTTGCTCACGGTTGCTGTGGTGCACTCAAGCGCTGTGGTGTACACAGGCGCTGTAGTGCACGGCATCATGGTGTACACTGGTGGTGTGTTGCACACGGCTGATGTGGTGTACGCAGGCGCTGTGGTGTACACAAGCGCTGTGGTGCCCGCGGGCACTGCGGCACAAACTGGCGCTGTGTTGCACACGGCTGCTGTGGTGTACATAAGCGGTGTGGTATACACAGGCGCTATGGTGCACGCAGGCGCTGTGGCGCACACAAGCGTAGTGGTGCAGATCGTCACCTACATGCTGCTGCTTCCCGTCCTAGGTCATTCTTCGGCATTCCCAAACGCCGCCTGTGCGAAACGTGACGTCATCGGCCCCCTCCTCCCCCCCTGATGATTTCTGTCATCGGCCTGGAATGAAAAAAAACAGCTCCAGCCGCGTCTGCGCGCACGACGACGATGAGCGACGAGCGACGAGCGACGGGCGACAACGACGACGACGACGACGACGACGACGACGACGACGACGACGACGACGACGACGACGACGACGACGACGACGACGACGACGACTGCGGACCAGGCTGCCGTTCGGATTCCTATGCGGACACCTATGCGGATCCCGATGCGCACGGTGGCAGCGCCCAGAGCGCACTGGGGGGGTTACGTCATAGGGGGGGTGGGGGCGGCGGGGGCCATGACGCCCGTCATGCCCCAAGCAGTAAAGAAACACGCTCATGGCAGCATCCGGAAACCCTGAGCCAAAAAATGTGGCCATCTCTTGGAGGGCAACTTTTTACTTCCGCCGGCTTCCGCCGCCCTCCCGCTGGCTTCCGCAGGCGGAGGCGGCCTCGTTCTACTTCCGCCGCCTTCCGCCGCGGAAGAGATGGCAACATCTTCGATCCTCGAAGGCAAGGCCTTTTCTGGAACGTCCCAGATGTCGCCATCCCGACTACCCTCGGGCACAATAGGGTGCCAACCGTATGGCACCAACCATGGACCACCACAGGGCGCCTATGCCATAGGACATCAGCCACATGACACCCACAAAAGAGCGCCAGCTAGAAGGCACCGTAGGACTTGCACGTCGAAGGGCAAGGATCTACGGCCGCGAACTCTTGCTCAGCGTGCCGCGGCGGCAGCCCTGGCGAGACGAAATGCCCTGCGAGCTGATGGCATGTCGCTCCGAGCCGATGGGCGGGAGGCTGGTAAAGGCTCGGGACGTTGACGCTTGGGAGTTGGGAAATGGTTTGCGTGTCGCGTCGAGGCGAGGTGGGCAAGAACCAGCGGCGCGATGCGCTAAGCAATAATCCCCCCCGTCTGCACAGTTACATATTCAAGCACACACAAACGCACAAACGCACACACACACACACACACACACACACACACGCACGCACGCACGCACGCACGCACGCACGCACGCACGCACGCACGCACGCACGCACGCACGTACGCTCGCACGCACACGCACACACACACACACAAGCACATCTCGACCTGCAGCCCGAAGGCACGGGTGCACCACACTCACGGACCACGGGTGGGCGCGCCGAGGAGGCGGCCGCCGCGCCCAGAGGCCCCCCCCTGGGCGGCGACTTGTGGGCGGCGGAGCGGGCCCGCTCGCGGCGGAGGGGCGGCGGGAGCGGGGCGGGCCGGCGGCAGAGGGAGGGGGGGGGCCGCAGAGGGAGGGATGGGGTCGGAAGAGCGAGGGGTCGGGAGGGGCGGCGGAGATCGGCGAGCGGCGGCGGTTCCCCTTCCCGCCTGCTCTTCTGGCAGGCCGCCGCTGTACATGCCCAGCAGGGTCTGCTGCGTCCGCTGGGGGCGCCCGCGGCCCCGGAGCCGCACCACCACCACCACCCGAGGGGCCAAGTTGCGGACGGGGATGGGGATTGGGAGGGACGAGAAAGAAGGACCAGCAGAAGGGTGGAGATGAGGGGTGGAGGCGGATCAGGGGCTGGAGGCACGCGAGGTGTTGTGGTGTTGGACAGCCCCGCACGGCCCGCCATGACCCCGTGCGGGATGGGCACGCACAGCTGCACACGGCCCTCGCTGGCTTCGCCGCGGCCACGGAGCAGCTTGTCCCAGCGCGGGGCCGCGTGAACTAGAGCACAGGCGTACTGAAGGCTGCCAAGATGGACGTCGCCACCACGGAGCTGGTCACAGGCCGCCCCGTTTGGTTGACTGGAGCATTACCTGCGAATGCTCAGAATACGCCCCTCGCAGGCAAGCCCAGTCCAACAACGACGGCGTGGCCGCAGCAGCCATGGTGCAGGCAGGAGAAGCGGACCCTGCACCCCCCCAGTGGGGGTGACCTTGCACCCTTTGGTCTTCGAGGCATTGGGCCGCTCGTGCGACGAAACCGAGGAGTTCATCCGACCTTGTGGGCACAACGTCGATGAAGCGACCCGGGGCGAGATGCTCGGCAAGGCGTGGCAGCAGCTTTCCAGACAGCTCCCACGCTGCAGCGCAGAGATGGTGCTCAGCGCCATAGGCCAGTGAGGCCCACACCTCCCACCACCACAACGACCACCACCACCACGGCGCCACCCAGGCCGACCGCCACCGCCACGACAGCGACCCAGGCAGCTGCGGCGGGCAAGGCCGCATTGACGCGACGTTTGCGGCGGCACCAGCGGCATGGCGACGCGCCGCCTCGCCACGACCCCAACGAAGTTACAACCGACCCCCATGTACCCCGTCCCCGTGCCCTCCCCCCTTATCTTTTTGCTGGCCACCCCTGCTTGTGATTCGTCCCCCCTCCTCCTCCTCCTCCTCCTCCTCCTCCTCCTCCTCCTCCTCCTCCTCCTCCTCCTTCTCCCCTCCTCCCCCTCCTCCTTCCCATCTCGCAGGCCCCAGGGCGCTCCTCCTTCCCATCTCCTCCTCCTCCTCCTCCTCCTCCTCCTCCTGCTCCCGCCTCCTCCGCCTCCTCCGCCTCCTGCCTCCTCTCCTCCGCCTCCTCCGCCTCCTCCTCCTCCTCGTCGTCCTCCTCCTCCTCCCCCGTCTCCTCCTCCTCCTCTTCATCCTCTCCGTCTCATCCTCCCCCGCCTCCTCCTCCGCCTCCTCCTCCTCGTCCTCCTCCTCCTCCTCCTCCTCCTCATCCTCCTCCTCCTCCTCTTCCCTCCTCCCTCCTCCCTCCTCCCTCCTTCTCCTCCTCCGCATCCTCCTCATCATTTCTCCCCCTAATGAACCCTCGCGGCCATGCTTGGTAAATATACCCCCTGGTTTTGTTTGGTCCGTTGCGCTACGGTCCATTCGCCGCCTCCTCCTCCTCCACATCATGCTCCGGACGTCCGCAGGCGGGGGCGTTCGCGGATGACCGCGGCACTGGTGTAATTATTCAGCGGCGTCCTTACAATATGGCGTCGCTCATGCATTAACTGACTAGTTAGTAATTAGACAACACCGCCAGGCCAGGAGCGCCGCGGGGCCATTACTCCAAGAGGCTGCGTCCAGGCAGTCGCTGGCGAGGGCCATGGGACAATGACCCCAACGCCCATGGGCCCCCCCTGTGCGACGGGACTGGGGGCCCACTCGGATGCCCCCGGGCCTCCTTTAATAGGGGGAGGGGATGATATGGAGGACGAGAGAAGTAATATGAGGAGGAGGAGGAGGAGCAGCAGAAGGAGGAGGATGAGGAGGAGAAGGAAGAGGTGGAGAAGATGGGAAGGAGGAGTGCCTCGGGGCTTGCGAGATGGGAAGGAGGAGGGGGAGGAGGGGAGGAGGAGGAGGAGGAGGAGGAGGAGGAGGAGGAGGCGGAGGAGGAGGAGGAGGAGGAGGAGGAGGGAAGAGGAGGAGGAGGAGGAGGAGGAGGAGGAGGAGGGGAAAAGCGAAGACAGGAAGACAGGAAGAGGAAAAGGAAGAGAAACAAGGAGGATGAGGAGGAGGAGAAGGAGGAGGAGGAGGAGGATCGCACGCCTCTGGGGGGAAAAAGAGAGGGGTGCTCAGCCCCAAAAAAACAGGGGGGGGGCCCTCCGAGGAGACCTTTTTGTCTCCCTGGCAGGCCGCCGCGCCTGCCAGGGGCCAGCGACAAGGCCCCCCTCTGGGAAAAACAAGCGTCGGACTCTGCACCACGCTTCGCTGCACAGTCGCGGTCCACACGCTCTCCAAGGGCCATTGCTTCGGGCTCATTGAGCCCAAAGGCCTGGAGGCAATCGGCCAAGCCGACGGACGGAACTCGGCCCTCGACGGGCCCTGAACGACAATCCTCCTTACTGGGCCCCATGGGGCCTTCTCGATCCCCCAACAAGCTCCCGAGCCTCGCCCCCAGGAGTCCTCCCGGGGCCAAGCTTAAGAGGTCTGCTGGAGTGCTTTCCCGCGATCACAGCTCTGGTGTTCTTCCCAAGGACCACGAGGGCATGTTGGGAGCCCTTGCACGCCTTACGGAGCCCCCGAGCCCCCTTTGAACTCCCACTCGGGGCCCCATTGAGGCCTGGAGAAGACCTGGGAAGGGTCAGGGAGGATGCCTCTGGCGACCTTCTCTGGCAGGTCCACACGGCACCGAGGCAACCGCTGCACGGGCAGCGCTGGCTCCTCCGGGAACTTGTCTCGGCGCCACAATTGCCGCGCAGGGCACCTAAAGCGCCTATGAAAGAGGGTGCCCTGCTCTTCTCTGCGCAGTTGGCACTCGCTGGCCAGCATCGGGTCATGCCCGTGCAGGCGAAACTGGTACCAGTGCGAACCAATGACCAAGCCTAGCAACACCCGTTGCTCCCTAACCCCCAAAATACCGTCCGCGGGCCCCTCTTCCGCTTGGTCTTGCAAGCGCGCATGCAGCAGCCCATTGATTGACCGCCAAAACATGCCGCCTATCCAGCCCTTGCCTTGTCCTATCTTGGCTAGGCCTTCTCTGTCAGCCGTTCGCCTGGCCGCAAACATCGCGACCCACCCTCGAGCACGTGAGGATGAGCGCAGCCACAGGATCACGGACCCTGGCCCAGGGCCTGGAGACCAGCAAGCGACCTTGGCCCCAGCAAAGAGCCACTGGAGGACAACACGTGTGAGGCGCTGATCCTGCAAAACTTGGCAGTACGTGAGGATAGCGTCAGCCGTGAGGAGACGGAGGGGATAAGGAATGAGCGTATGGAGAAATATGAGGACGATGAAACCAAGGAGGCGGGAGAGGAGTAATAACAGCTTCCGACCGCGCTGTCGGCGCCTTTGCTTGAGCGCGGCGAGGAGGAAGCTGAGGCAAATGACGAGGAGAAGGAGGCGGAGGAGGAGGACGAGGGATTTGAGGGGAGGATGATGGCCTCCTCCCTCTCCTCCTCATCCTTCTCCTCTATTCCTTTTCTTCTCCTCCTCCTCCTCGTCCTCTTCCACCCCCTCCTCCTTACCATGTCCTCCTCCACGTCCTCCTCCTCCTCCGCCTCCTCCTCCTCCTCCTCCTCTTCCTCATCTTCCTCCAGCTCAAGAGGGTCCGCATTGCTGCGCTCAGGCATCCATTCTCATCATCCTTATGCTCCTCCCGTCTCAGTCTCCCTGGGCGTGTCGCATGGGACCTCGTCACAAATTGTCAGCACTAAGGATATCATGTCCACAACTACACGGGCGTGCGACTTCAACATCGGGCTCTTCACACGACCTCCACACTAAGGTAGCGGAGGGCGTGCGACTTCAACATCGGGCTCTATCCGACGTGAGACTGCCCCACAAGCTGCTGCACTAGAAACTGGATCCCCGCGGACCCACGGGGGAGGCTGGACCGTTTTCGTAAAGCTCTAAAGCTATAAGACTTACACGAATGGGCGGCGACTCCTGTTCGAAGCCGCGCTCTCGCCTGAAGCATCTGCATAAGCCCTGATTGTGCGTATTCAAAACTCACACAGATACAAAGATCGAGAGCGGATCCTCATCACAATTCCCGCGGACGCGCCCGAGACCCCCTCACGATCCGTGGCCCTGAAAGCATGAAGTGGAGGTAATTTCTAGGGCGCGCTAGAAGCGTCTACGAGCTACGCGGATGAGAACGATTTCACCCCCCAGACTTACCGTGCCTTGGCAGCCTCGGGGGTCGGATATCAGCGTGGCTGTTGCTTGCTTGACACTGGACATAGTACAAGTGTTGGGCACTGGACACTGTTGCTTGACACTGGACACGAGGAGTGCGAGCATGAAGTGCTCCAAGCAATGGTTTGGGCGCCACCAGCGGACCTCTGAAGACCTCCACACGACCTCTGGAGGGGCCCGGAGGAGGAGCTCGGTCCTGATGCTGCATGTCGGGCCGGAGGCACGTGGCTTGGACACTCCAGGAGGCCCCAGCCAGAGGCCTCCAGGACCTCCGGCGGACTTGCAGAGAGACCTCCACGGAAGGACAAGATCAGGTGCAGAGTAGTAGCCAGTGCTTCCGCCTGTCACGCGGGAGACCCGGGCTCAAATGCCCGGCGGCGGAATTTTCTCTCGGCAGGTGGACCTGGCGTGGCGCCAGTCTGGCGAAACCTGCACGGAGGCGGAGCCGTCTGTGGAGGCCTACCCCTGGAGATCGGACCGCCCGTTCGGTAAGGCTTGGTCCTACTTCTGCACGTTGGCCGTGGCCTCCATTTGTGTGCCGGCCTGTCGCGTCGGAGCAGGAGGCGTGGGCTAGGAGGGCCAGAAGGGAGGAGGCACGAGGGAGGGAGGGAAGTGTTCTCTCGCCCCTCACTCAGAGTCAGACCCAGACCCCCGACGTCGTGATTCTTTCGCAGCGTCGACCCCCAAAGGTCTCGACCCCTTCCCCAGGACCTGTTTTCATCCTGAGCGCTCCCGAGGCCCGGTAAAGGCGCCCGAACGCCGAAAATAGTGAAAAACCTCCCGTCACGATTGTTTCGCAACGCGGTGGGTCTGGGAGTCAGAGTGAGGGTAAGTGTCAGCCGTCGTCGCCAAGAGGCGGCCCACTAGACTGGGCGACGGGCGTGCCTCGAAGGCGCGCCGGCCCTATGTCAGGGTCGGGGAGGGGCGCGAGTAAACGCACTCCAACTCGGCGCAGCGGCGCCTCTCGCATGGCACATGCAGGGATCCGCTCCTCCCCTGAGATCCTGACGTCTCACTTTTTCGAGCCGGGCGTTTTCGCCTTTTCTCGGGCCCCCCGGACCTTCACAGATCGATCCACCTCGCAAAATGGCGCAGAAAGATGGGGTCCAGGGTTCCGGGCGTGATTGTTTATGATTTGCTTGCACTTTTGGCTACTCGGACCTCAGGGTCGTGCGGATGCCAAGCTGAGTCGTGCGGCGCGGGCTCTGCGAGCGGCGAGCGGCCCATGATACTGAGATCAACGCCAAGCAGCGGATACGGACTCGGCCTGCTCCCCAAGCTCTGGCAGAACGGGGTGAGCAGGGTTGACTTGCATGGTCTTCTGCGGCTCATCCTTCTTGGCCTCAAGCGAGACAGGTCGAGACGTGATGGCAGAGCGATCGGAGAGATGCCGGGAAGAGGCCACAGTCCGAGCAAACCTAGAGCGCAACATCGTCAGGATGTAACTCGAGATAGGTTTCGAACGCAGCTTGCTGCGCGGAGAAATCGTGCAAGCGTTCCCCGCCAAGTGCAGGCTCCTGGGTCTCGCCCGAAGTCGAGGGCTGACGAGTGGCCGCATCGCCGTTGCTGCCTCGATCGACCTTGGCGAAGCTGGTGCACACCCGAGGCTGCAGCCCGCCTCTAGCTGCACAGAGCATGGCACACGTGCGTGCGATGGCAGAAACGGGTGCAGCAAGCGGATCTGCAGCGACACGATCCTGTCTCGCCTCGCCGCCCACCGTGCCCCCCTGTTGGATGCCCGTCTCTCCAAGTTCTCCTGACCTTCTTCCTGCGCATCTCTTTCGTCATGCTTGCCTATCTTGCATTCCCAGTGCGTGCCTACAGCGCGCGGCCGCGCGGCAGGATGCTCATCTCCCGCGGTCGCATCGGGCGAGGAGACACGAGGGATGATGATGATGCTGCTGCTGCAGCTGCTGCTGATGAAGATGATGGATACCGTGACGATATTCATGATGAAGATTGTGATGCTGGTGAAGATGATTATGAGGAGGATGATGATGAGGAGGATGTTGAGGATGAGGACGCTAATGATGGTGTTGATTATGATGATCGTGATGATGCTGATGATGACGATCGTGATGGTGATGATGCTGATGATGATGCTGCTGATGATGATGGAACCCTCTCAACGCGGTTCCGCAAGACCCGGACTGACACAGACGCACCGAAGACCAGACGGCCACACGTTCCCGACCTCCAAGCTCCAGAAGTTTACTGGCCCGGTCTCTCAAAAATTAGGACTTCAGAATACCTCAGGAGAAAGGCGGTCAGTCCATCCGCTCTGATCCCAGCGGATGTCTTGGCCCTGGCAGACCTAGTAAACGATGTAGATGAGGAGGGATGGTTTTCCTCATGACCACCACCACCGCAGCCTCGCGCAGCCATGACGGAACGCAGACGACGTCGTCCTACCCAGGAGGAGGAAGAGGACAACGACGACGACGACGACAAAGAACAGAGCGAGTGACGGCAGCGGGGTCGGCCAATCAACGTTTCAGATGAGGAGGAGGAGGACAATGACGACGACGACGACGACGACGACGACGACGACGACGACGACGACGGGGACGACGACGACGACGACGACGATGACGACGGCGACGACGGCGAAGTCGGCGACGGCGACGGCGACAGGCGCCCGCGGCGGCGCCGCCAGGGTGCCCGCTCCTCGAAGGGGGACAAGCAGACGAAGATGGGCTTCGTGCCCACGATGCCCCGCAGCCGCTCGGCCGCCTGCCGCGCGGGGAAGTCTCGCCCTCCTGGTGGTCGTCGTGGTCGCCGCCGCCGCCATCCTCAACATGGCTATCGTTGTCATCATCGTCGTGATCGTCGTGGTCGTCAGGACCCACACCATCATCATCATGCCCGGCATCACCGTCGCAATGATAGTAATTTGCATGACCATCATCAACAACAACAGCATCATCATCATCATTGTCGTCAACATCATCATCATCATCATCACCACCATCATCAACATCAACAACAACAGTACCATCATTACCGTCATTACCGTCACCACCATCACCATCACCATCGCCATCACCATCACTGTCACCGTCGCCATCCCTTCCTCAACACCGTCATCCTAAACAACAGCAGCAACACCAATAATCGCAACATGACAAGCATCAGCATCAACATCACCATCATCATCAGCAGCATTGTCATCATGATCACCACCATCATCAGCATCATCATAATAATCATCATCATCATCATCATCATCATCATCATCATCATCATCATCATCATCATCATCATCATCATCATCGTCATCATCATCATTCCCATCCTCAACATTGTCAGTACAAGCATCGTCGGTATTACCAACAACACCTGGACCACAATTTACAATCATCAATACAATCACCTGCCGCAACATCATTCATTAACTGGCGCCAGCAGCATCATTATCACCGTCGCCATGCTCGTCATCGTCATCATCATCATCATCAGCAGCAGCAGCATCATTACCATCATCAGCATCAGCAGCGGCCTCGTCATCATCGTCAACCTCATCATGATTTCAGACATCCTCACTGTCCCCGTTGTCATCGTCATCATCGACGTCATTGTCACACTTACCGCCATCGTCCCCATCACCATTACCTTCCTGCCCTCGGAGCATCTAGATTTCTCAAGCGAGCATCTCGATGACTGCTGAGAGGGATGACAGTCCAGCTCCCAGGAGGGCATCAGAATTGGAACGGCTGGTCTGTCGAAGGGGGGCAACTGGCTGAAGGCTGGGGCAAGTTGGGGGAGAAGGACGGCATTCCTGCCGATGGACAGCATCGCCGATGGGCACGCTGCCCCAGAAAGAGAGGTCCAAACCCGCCCTGAAGAAGGCGCCAGATCTGGCTGCCACGCTTGCGAAGGGTTGGTTTGGAAGCTCGGGGCGGAGAGCGACGGGTGCTCCCCTCCCGGGCGCACCGAAGCGTCTCGTCCTCCCCCCCCACATGTTCGAGGGCCCACGTCGAAGGCGTTGGATGAGAGGAACCTCTCCCTGAGAGAATCTTTCGGCTCCAGAGCGCCAGCGTCGTCGTCGTCGTCTTCCCCTTTCAAGGTCGGCGGCACCGGCGGTAAGGCCTTCGCAATCATCCTCTCACGGGTGCGCCGACGCGTCCCGTCCTCCCCCACCTGCTCGAGTGTCCAGGTCGGATGGGTTGGACGAGAGCAAATGTTCCAGGAGGCGAGGGCGGCCCTGTCGAGGGATTGCTGCCTCCATCTGTTCAATCCCTTCGGCCCTCTGGGCGGAGGTGGTCTACGAAGCGTCCCCTTCCAACCCCCTTCTTCACCTTCAGGGCGGGGTTTTCCCCTCCCCCTACCCTTGGGTATGGGCGAGGAGTCGCGGGTCGCTGGAGCGTCCAAGGTGAACCAAGATGGCTCCAAGAGGGCCACAGATAGCCCAAGATGGCCTCCAAGATGAAGAAAGATGACTCCCAAGATGCCTCCAAGAAGGCCAAATATTGATCCAAGGCGGCCTCACGAGGTCACCGAGCCTCCCAAGAACGCCCCCGAGAGGCCAAAAATGCTTCCAAAACCTGGAGATAGACAATGTTGTTTACCTTCATCGCTGTTTCGTTCCGATGGCCCCTGAGGCCTCAGAATGGCCCCCCGAGGACCCAATAGAGCCCCAACAGGGGCCCAAGAGGGCCCCAGGAAAGCTCAAGAGCGCCCCAGAGAGCCCCAATAGAGCTCCAAGAGACGACGTTCGGGGCTCAAGAAGGGCAAACCTAATTCAGGACTCCCTCTTGGCTCAAAGCCAAAATCATTGAAAGACCATTGGTTGTTCAAAGATGTTGGCCTCTCGGGGTGCATCCATGGAAGGTTTTTTGGGGCTAACATGAATCCAAGATGGCTTGCAAGAGCCCTTGAGGGCCTCCGAGGTTGCTCAAGAGGGCCCCCACGATGCCTTCAAGAGGCCCGGAGACCGCTCCAAGACGGCTCCGAGTAGCAACGGAACTCCCCGGGGTGGCCAAAAAGGCCACCCGAGAGACCAAACAACGGCCTTAGGAAGCCCTGCGACGGCCACAAAACACCCACCCAGGCTGCCAGGAGGGCCCCAAAACGGCCCAAGATGGCCCCAAGACGACCTATAGGAGGGCCCCGAGACGGCCCAAAAGGGCCCCAAGGCGGCCCAAAAGAAAAGGACTGCTGCACAGGAGCCCAAGACAGCCCCAAAACGGCCCAGATGAGCTCCATGATCCATGATAGCTCCTCAAGAAGTGAAGACGAAAGGTGACACATGCGACGGCCCTCGAAAATCAGATCCAAAACCTCCTGGTCGTCAATTCCTGAAGCACATCTGGCAAAGAATGGATACGCGGGAAAAGCGGAAAGCAGCGGGCCACGACGTTTCCCTGAGATCGCTGCCGCAGCAGGGCAGTCCTGGTGAGAGGCCACATTCGGCGATTGAGGACGAAGCTGGGACGAGGATAGAATCGGGTGCGGATGAGCCAAGAATCTCTGGAATCTGGCGGCTCTGGAGGACGTATCGGGCGCCGCGGCCTCCCCAGAGCATTCCGGAACGCTCTGAGAGCGCTCGGGAACGCTCTGGAACGAATGTGTCCTCGTGCTGGCCCCGCCCGACGACGTCCAATCCGCAAAACGTCGGACCGGACCAGAGCAGAAGCAGGAGGCCTGGCCCTGGCGTCGCACATCAGCCCTGACCAGGCCGCCCTCGCCCAGGCAAACCTCCTCCTGCTCCTCCTTCTCCTCCTCCCCCCTTCAAGCATCGGCTCCGAGGCTCTCCGTAGCACGTGGGCTTCCCTGCGAACTCAGAGTCGTGTCCGACGCCGCATCGTGGCGCTTGGGTAGCACCGTGTCTTCACCTGTTTTATTGCGTTGCCGATCGCGGTGGCGAAGTCGGACAAAGAGTTGAGCAGGGCTCGGCATCTTATTCGTGATCTTCTTGCGGGAGATGGGTCGGGTCAGCTCCATCTTGGGCTGGGTCTTCCCCGTCTTCGGCTGGCTCCTGAACCTGTGGCCTTTTTTTCTCCGCACGGGCTCACCAAGTTTGCTGCCAGCTCCAGCAACAGGTACTTGATTATTGGCTGAGCCTGGCCAGCGCAAGGCAAACGCTTTTTGATGTCGGCTGAGCCTGGCCAGCGCAAGGCATATGTTCTGGGCCATTCGTGGTTTGAGCTTTCTTTTGCAGATCTTCCTGTTCAGTTTTGGACTGTGGGCAAGTTTGGAGGAATGGAGTTGCGCATTTGGTAGTGGGTGTTTGTTGTTCCTTAGTCTGGCTGTTGGTGAGGCAGTTTGTGGAGGAGGCAAGCTCACTACCCGTACAGCTTACGAGTTTGTTCTGTCAAAGTTTGCCCGGTGACCTTGCACCGACAATGTATTACCATCTCCGCTGCTGGCGGGGATGTTCCCCCAGAGCTCCCCGAGCAACAGGACTGATTGTCTCCGTGGCATGGATGTGCGAAACGACCGGAGCGGTTAGGCCGCAGGGCCAACAAGACGTGGCCAAGCAGGAGCCCCATCGTCCACATTCCAAGCGGAGGTCCCCAGCAACGGGGTGACATGTCTGAGTACTCCACGACCTCAGCTGTTCGGAGTCGCCCAGCCCGACGACCTCGGCAAAGCCTTCGAACGGCCTCTTTTTGACATGGATGTGCCGCGATAGCATCTGCCCCACGCCCGCGACGCCGCGGACCATCTGGGGGGCCGCCCAACGAGCCAGAACGCCAGGACAGAGCGCGAGTTCTCACAGGCGACCTCACCCAAGCAACCAGCAGTGGATATGGATAGAAACAAAGGGATGACCCCCCAAGCACTATCCATATCCACTACTGCGGCCAGAAAACCCCACAGGCGGCGATGGCCTGCGAGCCCACACCACGGCGCCCGCAACGCCGCCATATTCACATCCAGACCCTGGTCTGAGCCCTCAAGCGGGTGACTCGAGAGCCGGGGCTAAGGGCTTCAATGTAGAACGCGAGCAAATCGGAAAACATACATGTGCTGTATACTGTGCCATCATTACCGTTTGCAGCACTAGGTTGTTGCTCTCGTTTCCTCATGCGACATGTCGACCTGACCTGCATCCACGGTCCAATCGCAGTTGAAGGCGATGGCGTGCAACATCTGTTCCACTACGCATATGTGATCTGAACTTCTGTGTTGGATCCGCCAACAGAAAACACCTACTCTACCTCCAAACCAGGGATCAGCGGCGGTAGCGGTCAAATATAGCGGCCTCCTCCTCCACTTCCTCCTCCTCCTCCTCCTCCTCCTCCTCCTCTTGCTCCTCCTCCCATCCTGCCCGTCCCCCCTCCCGTCCCGCCGGCGGCAAGGCTGGGCTGCATGCCGCTGCGCGCAGGCTCACAGAGCGGGGATGGGGACCAGCGTCGGCAGCAGAGGGGGCGAGCGACGGAGGGAGGGGAGAGGGAGGAAATATTGAGGCACTTATGCAGGAGCAGAAGCTGAGAAGCAATTAAAGTAACCCATAACCCTTTGATAGGGGACCTAAGTTGGGAGGGCCAAACACATTCGGCGTAGGGAGTCTTCTCTGCAGATGTACCAGACCGAACCGCCCAGAAGTAGGATCCCCAATGCGAAGGCGGGGACCTAAGCGAGGCCACTTCTTCATCGTGCTATTAGGGTTAGGGGCTCCTTTGTTACCGATGAGAAGCAGGAGTTAGAGTAGGAAGGGGAGCAGCGACGGCAACAATGGAAGAAGCGGGCAGAGGAGGAAGAAAACACGGCCGAGCATGGCGATTCAA